AAGACTTCCTCCATCCACCATGCCATACCCGTGGTTAGAGGTGGGATCCAGGAAAGAAAGCGCAACATCTCTGCCTAAGTTGGGCCCTGGCGACCCCAAGCTACATGAAAAGTTATCAAAATTACAATCCCTGTTCGGGACGCAATTCTAAACTGGCCCTAATACATAGCCCTGCACCACCTGGGGGCCACAACTTGAACAACTTGCCATGTGAGAGGAAAGGGACATTTTAGGGATCATTCTTGGGACTTCCTAGGGAGGAGACTGCCTCTCGGGGTCGGTGGTCTCTCTCCCAAAGAGTTTCCCAAAATGAGGTACAGTACCCCTGTTGGGATATAGCCATAAGCAACATAAGAAGGTTAATAGGGGCCTCTGTCATATAACTGCATTATGTTAAGTACTTTCCCCTTGCAGCAGCAGCAGCAGCAGCTGCAGCTACCACAAGACGTATTAGGAGCCCTAATCGCCCACTCATACAACACCTTGTAGGACAGGTAGTGTCAGGGGGCATGAAGAGGGAGAGAGAGAGAGAGAGAGAGAGAGAAAAAAAAAAGAAAAAAAAGAAAAGAGAGAAGACAGACAGAGAGAGAGGGATATCTATCTCCGTATATACCAAGAAATACAAAAGGACAGTGCTTTAAGAAGCTCCCACAAGGGCTGTGCAGGCAAAAATGCGGATCTTGTCTCACGGCGAACTGTCAAGCGCGACCAACTCAATGCTACGCAACATGCCACGAAAACTCCTAGCTGCTTGCATGTCCTAATTCCTGCATAGGCCTTCCGAATGCACATTCTAACAGCCTTTTAACCCCGAAGTAACCGGTATACAATCCCTGGGGCTCCATGTCTATAAATAATACCTACATTGGGCCCCAATACCTATAAATAGTCTAAGTAATCCCTTTAACGCGCTTGAACCCTTGACATTGATTAAGCAATTGCCTCGGGGCCGCAAGGCATTGACAGGGTCGCCAGAACGCCTGAGCTGGAATTCCTAGGACGTCCATATATTATAGTATACTACAATCCACTATAATATACCAGTATATACTATAATATACTACAATATACTATAATATACCATTATATACTATAATATACTATAATATACTGTACTATGTTATAATGTACTACATAGCACTGTAATTTTCAGGGTGAGGGGTATGTAGGTGGAGTAAGCTTTCCTCCATCCACGGGAGGATGGAAAACTTCAGCTAGCAGGGTTCAGAGACTTCGGGCTTAGAGTTTGGACCCTAAACCCTAAACCCTAAACCTTAAACCCTAAACCCTAAACCCTAGACCACTGTGTGAGCGCGGAGATCAGAAAGGGGAGCCTCAGAATACAGAGGTACATTTCAGGGGTACCTGCTTGGAGGGTCATGGGGACTTAGTAAGTAAGTTAATAATTGGGATAATTGGGGTTACTATATAGCTTATAGGGGTTATTAACCTACTTACTAAGTCCCCATGACCCTCCAAGTGAGGACTCCGAAGAAGAGAGCCAAGAGGTGCTAGAAGAGAACCAGCAGGTCCTTCCACAGGGGGAGGAGAATAATCAGCAGACCCTGATACCTAAACCCTAACCAAAACGAACTACACCCCAAGCCCTGTTAAACAACATTTTGACGAATGCCTCATCCTCATGCTTCACCTGGTTCTGAATTGAGAGCCCCAACTCTGACTTACGGTGGATGGGGAAATCTCACCCCACTTATCCCTAGAAGCCCAGGTACCCATATAGTAGGTTCTTGGTTTATAGGCAGTATAAGTTCAGATAGGGACCCAAGGACAGGAACCCAATATATAGGTAACTGGGCTTCTTGGGTATGATCCACAATATATCCCACAGGTTCTAAGAACTCATATTTTGAGGCTTTTGGGCCTAAAGATCATACTATGTACCCTAAACCCTAAACCCTAAACCCCTAAGGCTTTTGGGCCATTTTGAGCCTTAGGGCATTGTAGGCTTCGGGATGCACTCTGCAACTACCCTCAGGGTCCAAGGACCTAAATAATAGGGTCCCTTTAAAGGGGTTATAGGGGAATATATAGGGATATATGGGGATTATATAGGGGTATATAGGACCCAAAATAATAGGGTTTTAGGGCCCAAATGCCATTAATATCATACCGTTTGGGCCCTATAACCCTATTATTTGGGTCCTTGGACCCTTAGGGCTAGTTTCTCACACATATGCCGTAATTTCTCGCGTGTAAAGTCCATTTGGTTTCCCCAGTCTGCTGTAATTTCCAGGAGAGGTAACGTATGTAGAAGCTTCTAGACCTTGAGCTCTTTATCCTCACAGTTTCTGAACGGCCTGAAGTTCGGTGTTAATTTCTGTCTGTTCCCTGGTCCCATGCTTAGGAAGGTGGCGAATCCGCATTCTCAGTTTATAGATGCACGCTGCGCGCTGAAACATGAACGCCTGCACCCCAGACCCTGAGTTTTTTCAGCGTTCTGAACTACACCCGAAGTCAAGTTCTTTGACCAATAGCAATATGCTGAACGCTGCATACCCCTTCAACCCTTCGCTTAATTAAACCTGTCCCCTGGCTGAAGGCAATCCGTGAGGCAGTGCGTCTTCATGCGCCAATAATCGCCTCAGTTCTTGCTCAGGGCTTTTGGGTCGTTGTGGGTGCGGGACCGGAACTGCTGCAATTTACACTTTTTGTCGCCTATGTATACACTCCGAGAACCTGCACCTGATTGGCGAGTGCCAGACTGGGAAGGTTCTAATATTGAGGTTAGCCCTGCTCTGAGCGCGTTTGTCTTCAGCGCAATGAGAGTTGACGCCGTTCTACTCCCCTTCCCCTAGTTAACCCACCCCACCTTTAAAACAACATGCTGTCAATCATCTGTGACTACGGTGCGGCGGGGCAGGCTTATTATCCTTCGGGCGAAGAGATACGATGGAACTCCAAAAGGCTGCGTGAGGGTTCAATCCCTAAACCCTAAATGGCTGCGAACACCTCAGCAGTGCAGTGACTGCAGTCAGCATGGGCTTTAGGGAGTATACTTTACGGTTTAAGGTTTAGGATGGTTTAGGGTACTGGGAAGGAGGATTCTTGTAGAGTTTTGGGCATGTAGGGGAGAACAAGGACTCTAACAGTGTGTCAGTATGACAACCCCCAACCTTGACCGTTAACCTGTGAGTGTGACCTGGACCCCCACAGTGGAAGAAGACTTACTCGTTCTTAGTAGGGAAGAAAAAGAATTTTAATCCCTATATCATCCCCAGACAAGATACCCCCTTATTTCCCACTACCCAGTACGAAGCATGGCCTTCTGAAGCATCCTTAGGGGTTGCGGGGTACTTTTTTTACCCACTTTTGAAGCTCAGGAAACCATGAAATCGAAAATTGCTGGGGCTTGGTAGGGAATGAGTGAGCTGTGACTGCAGAGGGACTTCTGGAACTACCCACCTTTAAAGGGAAAGATCGAGGTTACATGGGGTATATCGGGATGTATGGGGTTTAGGGCTAGGGTTTCCCAAGAGTAGGGGTACTTTCCCAATAGACTACGTACTGCCCCTAAAGCGCCAGAGGGAGTTCACTGCTCATTCCTCCACCGATAACCCACAAGGAGCCTGGGCGCCTGTGGGTTTAGGGTTTAGGGGAGTCCACTAAACCCTAAACCCTGAACCTAGGGTTTCAAGGTCTATGTGGCACTTAGGACCCCTACTAAGGGTTAACCCTTAGGTACCTTATAATAGGAATATGAGGAAATCCCAAGGGTTAAGGGTCTAAGATCCAAGCTAATAAGTACCAACGAGTAAACCCTAAACCTAGGGTTTCAAGGTATTTCTGGACCCTGCCTGCTTCCAGGGTTGCACTACACTTGTAAGGATCCAGGTTAGCCAAGTGACATCGGTGAAGCCAAGATGGACTTTACTGACAACTACCTGGACCCTCAAAGTATCCAGAAACATGTTCTTGGTTTTTCATGAGCTGTTGGCCATTCTCTTCCCTACTGTTGACTGTTTAGAAACAGGTTTCTCGCCTTTGTTAAGAGTTGTGGGACATACTTTTTCTACTTCTCGGCCGCAGGTAGCGTAGAAGGCTGGATAGCCAGTAACTCCAAGCTCTCATCCCTGAATCGCACAACCCCAACGGTCTGTAATGGCCTTTCGGGCTATTCTCTGCAATTCTTGAACAATTAGTGAGGGTTCAGGATGAGTTTTGAGCAATAATTCTAATTAATTTGAGGTTCAGCTAAACCCTAACCCCTAAACCACCGCCCTGAACCTTATTGCACAGGTATGGAACCCTGAACCCTAAACCCTGAATAGTAGTTTCCTTTTTCTTTTCCATTATCCCAATAGAACCCCACCTCTATATAATCCCTATAGTTTCCATTTTCTGTTCCATTATCCCAATAGAACCCCAATAATAGAAACATTGGGGAGGCATCGCCCTGATCGTCCTTAGCAGTATGCTACACAAGTCTATCACATACATATACCCTACAGGGAGCCAAGTATACAAATAGTACCAGCATTGGGCCCTAAAGTCTGTAAATATTACCTACATTGGGCTATTTGGATGTCTAGGGATATGTTAGTTATGTACTGACGCAAATGCCAGGAGCCGAGAAACACAGCAGATCTTGGTTGTGATCGAATGGCGCATGGCTCAGGAATCAATGCTACGAACGCGAATCCAAAAATGAGAGGCGCAAGAAGGTGTGATTTGAGGTGAAAATGGGAACTTTGGAGCCAGGACTATCCCTATACCCTAATGCGTAAAATGACCCTGCACCCTCCATTTTTGGAAGCCCACCCCTCGATTCCTTCGGAATCGAGTCTGTGTAGCGCTGCTGTTGCAGCAGCCTTCCGCGAAAATGCTACATCAGCAACAATCACAATTTCTGTTGTCCACCAAGTAAGATAAGCCAAGAAAAGATGTTTCATATTCATGCGTGATGTGCGGCGGTCCTGCCAAAAATGCATGATTCTGTCAGAAATGCCAGTCGAACTTGTTTAAGCAGCGTCGACCGCGGCTTACATCCTGTCCTTGACACGCTGGATGAGGTCTGAGGTGGAGAGGCCATCAAACCTTGGCAGGGGCACCGCTATCCCCATTTTCCGCGGAACCTTGTAGTACGGATCATCCTCGGGATCTGGAAATCGATCAAAGTACTCCTGACCAACAGCGCAAATGTGAATGTCGTGCTCCTTCAGAAACTCCTCCGTCATTCCGAAGCACAATGCTTCTGAGATAACCTTGTCCACATGTTTGCATCCCAGTACCTGTGCTTCGCGCTCAGCCGCTGTCATGATTGGTGGCCGTTTGTAATTGTTGGCATCCTTGTCCCCCACAACTCCCACGAACACATGCGTGCCGAGCTTGGATGCGTTGCGGAAGAGGTTCTGATGCCCAATGTGGCACAGATCGAAGATCCCATCGCAATAGACATTCTTTCTCTCGACGGCCACTTCAGCCATGGCAGGAGCAACAGCTGAGGCAGACAAAATCACGCAAGATCGAACGCGATGCCTTTTCCACCCCCGACTCTTGTCTCGCCGTTGGTTTGCTGTTCAACAATTTAAAAAAGGCTGTTGGACGTGGAATGAGGGTCTACATGGAAGTCTGAGCCCAAACAGCACACCAGTCTCAACAATGCATCGGGCCCTACTTAGGTCCCTTGCATAGTCTCCTCCTGCCTACCTGTTTCTACGGATAAACTCCAGCAGCCCTTTGGCAAGCCTTATTTTGGCCTTGTATGGAGACTGTCGTACGGGCAGGGGAAGCATACCTTTCTAGTATGAACAGGAGCCGGCTTGGCGCGGTAACCTCAGAATCTACGGCACGTCCCTAGATATGGGTCAAACCTGGACCCTCAAACTAAGTACACTAACGGTCCTGTTGACAATGTTTAGGAATTTCGAGCCTTTGTGTTGTTAGCTATTTTGGGGGTCCAGGCAATTCTCAACTCGGTCATCTTACCCTTAGCCAAGGGGGACAAGTTCAGCATCATACTTTGTACTCCTGTACCCTGAGGGTCCAAGGACCCAAATAATAGGGCTTTAGGGCCCAAATACCATTCAGATTATAGTATTTGGGCTTTGAGAATAGGGTTCGTGCATAATCGGTTGAAGGGAGCTTTCCGACCAGGCTTGGAATGATTTTCAGTAGCTTTACCCAGACCTTCCTATGTGGTTGAAAGTTGGCAAGTATGTTATAATCCCTTACCCCCTAAACCCTAAACCCTCAACCCAAAAAATCATAACAGATCGCAACAACAAACTACACAGGAGGCCTTGGCTAGCTTAGGTCCAAGTGATGTCTGAGGGGGCGCAAGGCCTGGCTTTGTATCCCTAAGGGTCCAAGGACCCAAATAATAGGGTTTTAGGGCCCAAATACTACAATCTGAATGGTATTTGGGCCCTAAGGCCCTATTATTTGGGTCCTTGGACCCTCAGGGTATTTGCTCTTTGGGCCAGGCGAAGGCCTCAGGGGCAAGTTACATCGGGTCCTGAGCAGGACTTCTATGAGGGAAGCCCCCTTTTTTGCAGTTGCCAAGGAAGCATCAAATTGTTTCAAGGTGTGCGTTCATATGCATCGCCCAAGTGGCATCCCAAGTGGTCCAGAGCACGTCGGAGAAGTTCCTTTGAAGGTGGGGAGGTGTTGGGAAGTGCGCGTACAGCAATTTAAGATGTTGGGCCCGTGAAATCTGCGGCTGATGAGGCTCGTTTAAGGTCTACAGTCCCGCAAATTGGCACGTAACCTGAAAAGGGCCCTTTGAAGAGTACTGCTACTTGATTTCCATGGAGAGGGTAGGGTTTTAGGATTAGGGTTTAGAACAAAGTCTTTGGGTAGAGCCAAACATTTTGATGACCGGAACAATGATTGCATGGATTGCATGGAGAGCATAACTCCCTCTTACTAAAATTTCAAACACCCCTAATATCAAATCTGCTACATCTTCTCCATCCTCAGGCAGATGGTAGAATGGTTTTTAAGTTCTGAAGCCACACTTACTACGATCCGTAAGTGACAGCCAACCCCTGCATTAAAATCCTAGCTGCTCGTACCCTAAACGGTTCCAGCAGAAGCAACGCTGCTACACGACTCCAAGCTGCGAACAAAGCCTAAGGCTCAAAATTGCCCAAAAGCCTTACATGGCCCAAAGGCCTCAAAATATGAGTCTTTAGAGCATTAGGGAATTAAGAGTCCAAGTGCCCGACTAATCTGCCTTTAGTGAACCTTAAGCCCCAATACTTGGATACTTGCACCCTTAGGGAAACTTGCTGTAAGATGACCCCATGCAGGCGTAGGTTCCCAAACCTGTAGCCACTGAGCCGTAAACTTCTACCCAAAGATATATGGTGTTTTCCCAAAACCTTTTGGGGGTCCCCATAATAAGGAGTGTAATACTTGGGGGTCTACATGGGGGTCCCTCTATTTAAGGAAACTACCATAAATGTTCAAGACAAGATTGAAGGCCCTATGAGCTAGTTGTACACCTACAAACTACAGTTTGTAGTAATTACCCCAACTGGGCCTTATGACTTAGGGTTAAGGGTTCGTGGGTTCAGGGTTCCGGAGACCCTAAACCTTCAATCTTTTGTTGTCCATGTAGGCAAATCCCGCAAGAATACTCTGGCAGGACCCCTTTGAATTTAAGAATCAGGCGCAGGCACTTGACGGGTCCCAGATGATCGCTACATAGTTTGGGGTTTAGGGTTCGAAGCCCTGTACTTCCTTCTAAGCACTGTGCACGCGTTTGTATGCGTATATATAAACACATAGTCACACTTTGAGAGCCCAAAAAACTGCAGTCAAAACGCAGAGCTCAAACGAACCCAAACCCACCGAACCCTAAAGCTCCAAACCCTGAACTCCTAAACCCTAAACCCCAAATTCACGCTCACACTCAAAGTGCTAAACTTGAGCTGCTGCCGACATGGCGCTCCGCGCAGCTCTCCGGCTTCTGAGCAATCCGGCCGAACACGCCTTCGGATCGCATCATGCAGCATTATACAGGGTCAGTCAAGGGTGTCATATCATAGCAACCTAATACTATGAATGATATTCCTGATACTAATAATGATAGCCTGGGGCTTGGGGTTGAAGATCTGCCTGGACCCCGAGCCTACATCCTAAAGCCCAAACCTTGCCACATGATCACAGAGGCCAGTAACCTACCTGAGCTATGCAAATTAATCATCTGAGCTATAGTCTAAACTCCTAGTAGCCCCTTAATAAGCCCTATAGTAGTCCCCTATATAATCCCCTATATAACCCCCTTTAAGGAGTCTAGACTATAGTACATCTGGTGTTTGAGTACATGGACCCTTTGGGACCCTAAACCTTAAACCCCCTGTTTGAGTGCTTGGACCCTTTGGGGAAGTATTGTCCTACCTCAGCTGTCCGCAAGGGCCCCCAGGGTGCCTTGCAAGTTCGCGAATGTCCTCGTCGATGACCTTCCAATAAGGCCAGGCTAAATTTCTCTTGCTAGCTACTGTGGACATTGGGTTCTGTAGGGTCCATTCCTCCATTCCTTAGGAACAGCCAGTAAGCTATAGGAGTTAGGGGTACCCCTAAGAAGCCCTCCGCACGGCTACAGGAGGATTTTATGCACTGGAGCAAGTTTGGGAGGAGGGGGTCCTTTAGACATAGGTTTAGGGCTTGGAATTTGGGGATTAGCGTTGGGTTTAGGGTGCAAAATATCGCTAAACTCTTTTGCTAAACTCTAAATCCTATGCTGGACAATTCCTGTCGCATATGGATATCCTTAGGGTGGCTTGAGGGATACCAAATAGGAAGAGGCAACCTCGGACCTAGGGTTAAGAGTTTAGGCTTTGGGGTGCTTAGGGTTGATAGGGTTGAGGTTTTATAGGGTTTAGGGCTTCTGGGGTTTGCAGGGTTTGGGGTTTATAGGGGTTAGGGTTCAGGGTTCCAAGAAATGGGGAACGTGCTCAGCGATGCTCCTTCCCAAATTGGATTTCATTGCTGAGCGCTTTGCAACGAAGTGGTTTCCCAGCAAAATGGCAGTTGGCGTTACGTGTTGTTTTCTTCGGGGGAAATGGAGTACTGTCTAAATGTTACGTCGGGGAAATATCTACACGGACCGGTGAAACCATGATAGGTCCTGCACAAGCTGCACCAAAGGCTTCATGTAGCTATATGGTATATCCTTACCTGGGCTCTAAAGTAGTTGTATGGAAACCCCTTTGGGCCCTAAGTATGTACTATCTAGCTTCCTGGAGCCTTTGCTTCCTCAACCCAATTACGACAGCTGCATTGTCCCCGAACACGCTGGCCCTGTGCTTCCGGCCTTGTTTGCGGCAGGGCGGACAACCTGGGCAGGACAGGTTTTCTGGTGTTTGATTAGCTGGGAACAAAGGAATGGAAAAGAACATGGAAACTACTAAAATGGGCTGTGTAGGGATTACTCTAAGGATCCATTCCTTCATAGGTCGGCAGCCCGCGTTCATTACAAAAGTAATCTTCGGCTGCCTTTAGTTCTAATTTCTCCCCATCTACGTCGAGCAAACCAATAAATTCTGTTCAATGCTACTGACACAAACAACTTCAAGAGGACGATGCAGGATCCTAGTGACATCGACTCTGGACCTTGCGACCCCCCAAAACGAAATTGAGTCAAAAAAGCACACGCTCAGAGGTCCCAAAGCATCTCTCAGGTGATGGCTTGGGGGGGGCACGGATGGACTCCCATACCAGCGAGCTTCAGCCAGGAGCACAAGGTTATTCCTGAAAAGAGATGCTTGAAGCACACCAATGCCTACGCTCCCGAGACTAATACTGAAACCCAAAAGAGCTAGAGTCTGAACTCCGAATATCCCCGTAGTATCCCCCATTGCAACCCCTATAGTAGTCCCCCTATAATCCCCTATATAACCCCCCTCATGGACTTTAGACTATAGCTCATATGGATTTGCATGGGCTATTATGCAAGTTATTTGCTAGTTTGGAGGAAAGTAAAAACACATCGCTAAATCTCTCTGCCCTGTGAACTTACTGGTTCCTAGTAGGGACTGAGGGAATATAATCTCTACATAACCCCTACATAAAATATTCCCTTATTCCCTACTAAGAACCAGTAAGTGAATCTCTATAAGATATTCATCTGACTAGCGGCTTAGCTTGCTGTAACGTAAGCTAGGTTAGGCCCATACCCACAAGCAGTCACCACAAGGAATAATGGTACTCATATTACTTTATGGGTCCAAGCACCTAAAGAGTAAAGAATTTGTGCCCAAATGGCTTCCTATAGATAAGTAAATTGGGTCCTATAAACATTCTATTTGGGTATTTGGACCTTTAGGGTTAGGGTCCCGGATTCGGTGGTACCGACATAGTCCGTTAATGCTACGGCCACTGGGTGGGGGCCTAAACCGAAGCATAACTCACACAAATCCTTGCTGGTTCTTTTTACGGGAGAGCTTGCTTCCTGCAAAGTTTGGAATGCCATACCCTC